TTAATGCAGAAAAGAAACAAACTGGTGTCCAAAAATTCACCAGAATGCAGGAAATATAGTTTTTCATGCTCAAAATTTTGAGGCGGTGGACCCCAAAACCCTGCATTTCATTTGTGTCCCTGCAGTGTTGAAAATGAGACCTACTCCCTTAAACTTTTTGACCATACTTCCTACTTCTACACACACTTCCCTCTTAGTTTCGATGAACCAATTTAAGTAGCTGCCGTCACACTATAGACTGCAATTTTGTGTTAACATGTGTAGCAACAGGCCATTAAAATCTCTATTGCTGCAGTAAAAGACTTAAAAGATTTTTTATCAGAAAAAAAAAACAGTGAGTGCTTAAAACTATTTGGGGAACTTAATAATTGTATGTAATTGAAATATGAGTTATTGGACATTTAACAGGCATTTGTTATCATACATTTGTGATAAAAAATGTATATAATAAAAGTTCAGAAACTTGTGTTTTCAAAAACTTCCTGCCAAAAAAATAGGAACCCATGTCATCATGTCACACAAACTAAAGAGACAACAATTACATTTCCCCTCTCCCACAAGGATATCATTGCTCACATTTAATGGGACAGTTGGCTGATATTTTAAGAATGTCACCATCTCCTATCTGTGCAGCCATTTCCACCTCCTATTTGAAGTCCTATGAGGAATGCTTTGTTGTCAAGGTTAATCTCGTTGGAAAAAAAAGTCTGCTGTGGGATTTGTGCCTGTCACGATACAAAGGGAAACGCATCCTAATGATTCATTTCAATAATGTATTTTTTCTCCTTGAACTGTGCTGCCACTGAGAGGAGAGCAGGAGGAAGAGGATGCCCGAGGGCTCCTGACCTCTGACTGTTTAATGGCGTGTAAAGGTGTCAAAGGTTAAATAATGTTTCCACTCATTTAAACGCGACTAATTGGTTGTGGAATTGTTTTGTTTGTTTGGGTGGCGACTAAAGCTTTTACTTTATATCGGAAACATTAGCTGCGTAGTTACTATTTTACATTTTGTATTTCACTGGCTGGTTCTCTATCTCCAACAGGCTGTCAGGTAACTTAATAAAATGGTGTTTCTCACGTCGAGTCATAATTAGGCCAAATAACGAATAATACAAATATAATTGTATTTCTTTTTTAATGCGGTACTCGCCTACTCAGTGTGTTCGGTGTTTCGTGTCCCGGTGTACTCTGGTCAGCAAGCTGCCTGGTGTGCACCGTCGCCGGCCTGCAGGTGCTGAGGAGCACCCAGCCGGAAGTCCGGAAGCACCGCGAGACCAAAATTCGGGTTAACTCGTGCACCGCCGGGGCTCGTGGGGGTTGGGAAAGGGTGACACTCGAGGAAAGATGGGTTAAAATCGATATGTGGACTAAAGTTAGTTTTCACAACCCAGAGGAAACATCAGTGAGACTGCCAATGCACATTGTAGGCCTATTTAGTAGGCTACAAGATAACTGTCAACCGCAATTAGGAAACAACCGACAGTTATTTCAGTAACAAAGTCATTTAATTAAATTCATAGTGATTAATACTAGTACAAATTATTATGGACATGATTTCCACCAATAAACAGCACAGTGCGGTTACAATAAAGCAGTTCAGGAAGTATTCAGATCCTGTAATTGGGTAAAAAAAAAAAAAAAAGTAGTATTGCAACATAAAAAAGTTCCACAATAGCTCTGCAATGAAAATGAAATTTGAGTGAAGGTATTTAAAAATATTTTGTTAATATGTATCAAAAGTACTTAGAAAAATGCCCCCTGAGAGACCTATTCTATCATATTGAATTATTATAACTGAGTCAAAGTGGACCTAGTTTTAGCTTGGGTACTTTAATTAAATTTAAATGTTATAACAATGTATTGTTTACATGCTAGTCTTGCATGTTCAATCTCATCTGTAAACACACTAATAGTTGCCTCTGAAGTGAGGTTAAAAAGTTCAGAGAAGTGCAAAGCAGACTTGAATTCAAGTACTTAAATAAAGTAGATTAGAAGTATCTTATATTTGTATACATAAAGAAACAGTCTTCTCTTTTCTTCTCATCGCCTGCGCTGAGTTGTACAATTTTGAATGAAACCATATCCAGCGATGAAAATGTTCTTCACATGTTGCACTCTTTAATAAATAGTGTCCCTGGTGTCATATGCATCAGTCTGGGGAGACTTGACATTGAAGCCTGAGGCCGCCCTCATTTTGTAACCCTGCCCTGCAGCCTGTAGGAGCCTATTCAAGTAAGCACACAGGAGATTCTTTGCCTCTGGCACATTAATGAAGCTTAGCTCTACTGAATTTAAATGAAAAAAGATATATATAAATAGGGTGAGATTACAGATGTGACAAATCCTTGCAAACTTTCAAAGTGGCAATCAGAGAAATTGCGCCTACTAGAGGACATATAATGAACTGCACCTCAATACCAACTAGTATTGTCAGTGTGGTGCCTGTATTGGAAAATATTTTCCACCTTACATTTCTACACATGCACCTTAATAGGCTCTGGCATGTTTTCAACAGGCCTAGGCCATTTTCAAGCACAATACTTTCATGTACCCTTCATTTCACACAGAGGAAAAGAGCAAGCTGCTTAAGCCCAGTTACATTCATGTACCCAGATGTTTCAGGCTCCAGGAGCAACGGTGCCAAGGACTTGCCAGTGAAGTATGAAGAGGCAGAGGATGGATGATAATGCAACCTGAGGCATCATTTGACACTCACCTGCATCTGGAACATCTGTTATGACCGGCCCGTGCTGAACCTTGCCTCCCTGCCCACCGTATCTGGGGACAGTTATTAAAAACAAGCCAGGTAAACCAATCAGAGTCCTCCACATAAACAACAGAACACATGGTTCACATTTCCCCCCTGTGGCCTCTCAGCTAATACAAAAGGTATTACGGTTTATGGTGTGCATGAGGCTGCTGATGGACATTTTATGCAGAACATCAAAATACATCACTGCAGCTGGGCAAGAGCCGTGATACATTTGTATTAGGTCACATTTGAAAAAATAAATAAAACCAACTTGCCTGTGAGGCGGAACATTAGTTTTGGCTTTTACAGAAGGAATTATTTTCTTCAAATCATTCCTTTTTCTATATTTATGTTTTCTAGAGAATCAGGCTCATTTTGACGTCTTCTATGTCCATAAACACACCTAAAGGCTCAGGCAGTGACAGCATCAACCACAGACACACTCACATACCAACACACAACCCACCGGATTATGACCTATCCCAAAGCCAGGTTGACCTCTGACCTTCAAGGCCAAGGAAGACACACGTTAGGTGATAAGTGAAGCACTGGGCCTATTGTGCAGACGGTCTCCCTGTCCATTTATTGACTTCCTAAATGATCCATTATGAAGTGATTTACGAGGTCCACCACCACCCCACCAGGCACTTCTAAGGCCGGTGGGTTGCCGTCTGCTCCATTCAGCAAACATCTGCACCAATGGACCCAGCATTTGATTTATCAGAGAATGGACGGAAGCTGCCCCACGCCACTGGTGGTGTTTGTTCAAAGCCAACAGGAGAGTTAGGAAGCTGTTATGAATGCAAGATGTCACCAGTGGGGTCAGACACAAAAGGTATAGATGGAGCTCTGCAGGGAACAAGGAAAACATGCCATTAAAACCAGGCACTCGGAAAAAGAAGCAAAATAAAGATTTTATGCCACGTTTTTTTAAAATGATGTCAAAGGGTTTTCAGCAAGCACAAACACAACTCATCAAGAACATTACTTTGAAAACAAGCAAGAAAACCCACCAAAATAGCAGCTCCATACTTTTTTCAATGACAGTAGCGTCACGGTAAGGCAGCCTGTCTTGCAAATGACCTCGTCTTTCCTCCGTTCACTAATGATTCGTGGCCATAATGCTCGCCTGGCTCTTTGATTTCTCAGGCCTTTCCTGTACAGCACGATGAGCTTCTCAACTTGGGGTCATCCCAGGAGACAAAGCCTTTATGAAGCAGAACGTCAAGCGTTTGAAGCCCTGGCCCCCGGCCTCTCTGCACAGTGTTGTAACACATGAGCTCCCATGCTGCTCATTGACTCACAGAGATATTATTAGAGACAGCAGACAGAAAAACAACACCTCTCCATTTTCTCTGGGACTTTCACAACAGGACCCTTGGCCTTGTTCATGACAAATGTCCATTTGTAAAAAAGACATCTGTATTTAGAATTGCATGTAAAGAAAATGCAGAAGTTATCAATTGTCTTATTTTAAAATGCAAATGCTGCCGATTCCTCTTAGAGACATTAAAGTTTTTTTTTTTAATTGTTTGAAATTCTTGAACATGATGGTTACATTGATGTAGATTTCCACTGTTTTTCTTCATCCATTTTAATTTTCAAAGAGGTAATACTTATAAAGAAAATCAGCTTATAAACAGATAATGCTGACCAAGGAGAACATCTGCAGATCAGCGGCTTCACTAAACCATCAGCCGTCCCTTCTTTATGTGCCTGCTGTGATTAACCTTGTTTGACAAATACAGCTCAGGTCAGGCTGGAGGGCTTGTGTGTTAAGCTAAGACCTGCTAGAATAACAACACAAGATTACATAGCTGCTCAGGTGCGACCTATGCATCAAATTCAGGTCCACTGGAGCAAATCTCCAATCAGATAATTCAATACAATCACATAGCCGCACAGAGCATCACGCAAAGAGCTTCAGCAAACAGTGGGCCAAAAATGACAGCTAATTCCTAAGTAACTATTTGAAATATATCAGATATTTAAACTGGCCCGACATTTTAAGTTAGACTGGGCTGGCCCAAGAAGTTCTGACAGAAACATACAGGTGTATATATTTGTATACACAATAGAAGTCTAGTCTTAAAGTAGAAAATGTGCACTATGCCAGATACATGCAGTGTAAAAAATGCATGAATAGAAGAACCAAACCCAGAGTTATCAAGGCTTTGCAGTTACTATAATTATTATTATATATTATAAATACTGAGTCATACATTTCAGACATTAAATGTAGACACTGTTTGAAAAATTATATTTGGATTTATTACAGGAAAACAGTATGATAAGTTGGTAGTTACCAATACAGTTTCAGTTCATATAAGAACAAAATAAAATCTGTTCTAGGGTCCAATGTGTAGGATTTATAGAGATGTATTAGCCAAAATGGTATATAACGTTCATAACTATGCCTTCATCAGTTACCATCAGTTTCATCACCTGAAAATAAGAATCGTGTTTTCGTTACCTTAGAACGAGCCGTATAAATCAACATATGAAACAGGGCCTCTTTCGCGGAGTCCGCCATGTTGTTTCTACAGAAGCCCAGAGTAGACAAACAAAATATGGCACTAGATAGGGCCATTTGTGTTTTCACGCCAGCCACCATATTTCTACTAAATGCGTGGCATACAGGGGAAGTTTCAGTTGGTTGCAAACCTACGACCTCACCACTAGATCTCACTAAATCCAACACGCTAGACCTTTAGGGTGAATGCGGAGCAGCATGTTTGGTCAGTGTCTTCTTCATGAACCCTTTAGCAGGATGCAGCATTAACTGTATTAAGTCAAATTAGGTTATTAAGAAACTGACAGGGCTCATTGTGTGGGATGAACATGTCAAACTCAGTCTCCATGCAAATGCTACTGTTTTTAAAAATATAAACAACTGACCCCGACAGTGTAGGTGGCATATCACTGTATGTCCCGTGTTTTAATACTGTATTTTTCTTGCTCTTAAGAGCAAAGGGGGAGACAGTTGGTCTGAAGATTGAAAGCAGCCCCATGTAATGACATGATTCATGCCAAAGCAATTAACTAGCTGTAGTTATTTATGGGCGCTGCTTCCACTTGCAAAATTGCTTGACACTAGATGGCAAAGTATGCAATGCAGGAACTCGATATCAAGAGACAATATCTATATGAACATAATACACAGTCTATTTGTCCAGTTATCAAAACATGGCACTGGAATATTACTGGCTACAGACACCACCTGGGGTCACACCAACATCAGTAGTAAAGTCCATATTTCCTCCCAGAGACGGTCAGCCAGTGTCAGCTCCCTCGTTGTACACTGACCACAGGCTGATCCGCTGGTCCTTGGATCCAGCAGCCAGCAGTCTTTGTCTGGAGTCCTGGTGGTCAGAGAAGGCCACGCTTAGGACCATGTCAGTGTGGTACTGAAGCACTGCCAGTGGTCGCAGCTTCTTCCACCCAAATACCCGTACCCGATGGTCCCAGCCGGCCGAGGCCAGAAGCTTCCCGTCGCCCCTGATACACAGCTGGGAAACCCCAGGGTTGACCAGTGTCACACAGTCCTGGAGCTGTTAAACCACAAAGGAAGAAAGGGATCTTAGCATTTCTTTGCAGTTAGAACCATGTACCAATCACACATGCTGAAACAACTTTACATGTATTGTAAACACTTTGCAAAGATCGAGGGTGCTGGGTAGCCGTTTCTTTATGGTAATTTTTAGAGAAACCGAAAACCACACCCTATAGTTTATGCAAATAAGGAGGAAAAAATCAGACAAACTAATTAGGTCAGTAAGTCGATTAATCACTGCCGTCTAGGAAAGCGAGGCCAAGACAAACACCAACAGGGAGAGACTATCAGCTGATCTGATGACTGAGGTCCAAGTGTGAGGCTGGATGTCTGTCGAACCTGGCTGGAGACTCCTGGGACTCAATCATCGGCCATAAAACATTACGGCACGAGGGCCGTGAGCAGATCTCTCTGCGTCCCAGTATTTGGTTTGGAGTTAGGGGAGGCCTATTCTGGAAGCGGGGCTTGAGTTACCTTTGTCGCAGTATGCAAGAAAGAGAGAGACCATCTCGCTGAAATGCTTGTTTGCAGAGGCCTTGTTGCTTTAAGCGCCGCTGATGAATTACATTCGCACTGAAAGGTCTGGTCAGCGGCAGAAGAGACACGATAAATATACTGTTGTAACGTCTGCCTGCTAAAGATTAGCCACAGCTCCCTTCCCCTGTGATCTACAGTGTCCAAGGACTGTATCAATCTCTCTAAAGGGGCAACATTCTGACATATTATAATGAATGGCGGCTAAGATCACTATCTAAAGGGCCTGCTGTGGTGGGCATTCCTCAGGAGCGAACGTGCTCTTCCTGCGGACCAGGGATCTCTCCTGGACCTGTAGATGGGACGCAAACATCTGGAAATGGGAGCTGAAATCAAACTGGACAGCGTATAATTGACTTCATAAGCTGTGTCTAAGGAGACTAATGGCCTTGGATGGGAGGAGATGGTGGAGAATTTATCTGCATGCTCCTGTTCCGGGCAGGAACCATCCACAAGCTGCATGTGGAAGATATAAGCCAGGTACTCATAGCCCAAGTGGATAAAGTGGAATGCAAGGCAGAGAGTGAGCGGGGAGGAATGTCATTGATCAAAACGGCGCAAGAAAGCTAAGTTCAGAACAGGCAGTGATGTGATTTCTTTTTTTTTTTTGTTTGTTTGTTCAGCGAACCGTCACTGCTGGTACCATGAATGCAAGAGAGAGTGTGACTGGTTAGACCAAACAAGCCAGATACACTGATACAAAGAAACCTGGGGGGTGAAAGATTGTTTGGAGCTTTGTTATTACCTCAAGAAGTTGGTATGCCCCTACCGCTCTCCATCTGGTCTGCATTAGAGGCCTGATAATGATGGGTTAAAGTGTCTGTTTTTGTTTGTTTTGCTTCCCATAGTTTGTGTCGAGAAAAGGCATTTGTTTCATTAAAGGGTCAACTGTAAGCAGTAAATGGCTAATGATGTAGCAATGGTCATTCAGCAGGGCTGGTGAATTGTTTTTACTTTCTACAGTCTGAGAAAGTAGAGAGAAAAGCGATGAGGAAAAAAAAGGTTGTCCTGAGCGATAATCTAAAATTAATGGTGCTCATGTGCAGCCATGGCGGTTCCTGAGCTGCCACTGATCAGTGTTTACTCTGTGATTTCATGTGGAAGTGGCGCTTGACAATATTAGTGCTGAAATGACTGGTTGATTAATTCATTAGTTGATCAACAGCAAAGTAATTACCAACAATTTAGAAATGCAATTAATTGTTTCACTCAATTTATCAAATTAAAAACTACAAATATGTTGGTCCTGCTGCTGCGTTCTGTCTTATATAAATGAAAACTGAAATCTTTAAGATTGTTAGTTGGACAAAAAAAATACATTTGAATTTATCATCTAGAAAACTGTAATCTTGTTGCTATTAACTTTTTATGGACGAATCCATCAATTAATCACAAAAATAATGACCAGATTAATCATTACATCATAAAAATAAATTAATTTTAGTTGCTGCCCAAGTGGCATCAGTTATAGTCATATATCTTATGTGCCCATGTTTTAATTAACATTGTAGCAGAAGACATACATTGGATATATTATATTGGATCCGGTATAATGATAAAAATATCAATTAGTTGATTAACAGAAAACAGCTATTTATTAACCCATTAATGATTTGTCATTGTTTCTAAAGTAATAGTTTGAGAGTTTGGACATAGCCAGGCTAAAAACAAGCAAATAACTCATATTTTGGACTTTTCATGAGAGAAAACTAGCAATCTCAAGTTTCACGTTCATGGAGGGATTATTGAACTTTCATATCAGGCACAAGCCTAGGGGCCAAAAGTGTCAGAGGCCCTCCTGGCCTTTACTTGCAAAATGTCACTGAAATGGACATGTACCAGGGAAAGACTCAAACTGACCACAAAGCGATGCAAAGGAACTGCGTAGAGACACAAAACGACCAAAAGAGACACAAAATTACCCCAAAGAGATACAAAATAAAACCATTAGAAGATGCATAACGGCTACTAAGGGAGGCAAAATAACAACAACAAAGAGGAAAAACAACCACAAACTCTGTGCGTCTTGCTCCTATGTGAGAGAGGTGGTGGGGCCCATTGTCTCATAATCTGCTCAAGGTCACATTGGGCTCTGGGAAAAAAAGATGATATTTTTTATGGACTAAATGACAAATCAAGTCACTGAGAAAACAATCAGCAGATTAATGGGTAATAAAAATGACAATTATTTGCAGCCCATGAATGTTATTTCTCTGTGTTCGGATAACTCTTATTTATTTTTAAAAAGAAAATTGTTTAACCTGCGCTGTCATTTTAATTCCATGTTCTCCAGCAGCAGCATTGTTGATCTTGCTGTCAGGCTACACCACGGCTGAATGAACACCTAGAAATCACAGCTGACTTAAGCACTGCCATTTACCAGGTCTAAATCTGTAATGAAATCCACTGGCTCTAACCGGGGAGTCTTGGCTCATTTTATCCGACACCCCATTTTTCTTTCCCTTGCTTCCTTACTATCTCATCAGAGACACAATCTGTCTTTGGGCCTCATCATTTTTTTTTGTTTGAACACTCCTTCCTGGCCTGTGTTACAGCATGCAGACACACACACACAGAGCAGGCTTGCTGTCTAAACGCCAGCTTTTTCAGCTGTCAGGAGGCTACCAGCTCTGCTCAGCAGCTGGGCCCACTAGACTCTATGTGGCCTACAACAGATCCAACACAAACTCACACTTCGGGATCCTCTTTTGTAGTATCTCATCGACAGAGGAGACGTTCAAAAGGAGCGTCCACTTGGCAGGTCTCACTCAAGCCTCGCTCCACTTTTTTCCCCGTCTTTCCCCCTCAGTCTTGGCACGGATTTTGGCGTTCACGCTCGTCTACTGAAACGTCCCATCATCGCTCACTCACTCGAGCCTAGCGGCTGGGAGGCTTTTCGCAGGTATTTCTGACACACCCTGTCCCTGAATCACACTCAGCAGCAGGGAGATTACAGCCTTTTGTCACCTTGCCTGTCAGAGCCTGGCTCTGGCTGACAGGAGATGGATGTGTCAAACAGCTGAGCAGTCCCATTCAGAAAAATAGAGGGGAGGGAGGCTCAGTAAAGAGTGCCATAATTTTTATGACAGCAGCTCATACATATATCAGTCCAATAGCAGACTGAAGTTGGGCCTGAGATGACCTGAATCATAAGTCAGGTCACATCAGGGTTGGCTGCAAGAAATCACAGAAGACTGAAGTTACTAAAGGGGGGTGCAAAGGAGAGATTGGGGATATTTTTACACTGTGGTGAAGATGAGGGGCAGGAGTTCCACCTGTAGACAACTGTCATCAGTCTCAGAAATAGCTTGCTGTCAGCTACGCTTGATTTACACTGCTAATCTCCCTCCGTCTATGCCTGCTTTCTCTTTCTCCAGTCCATGACCTCTGTCTTTTTCTTTCTCCTGGAAGAACACGTCACTGCACTTGTCAATACATTTGAGTGGCCGCCTAAATATATGTCCATCTGGCTTAACAGCTTGTAAACCCTAACGCTCACACCCTCATACTCCTCACCCTGACACATTCCCAAAAATGTATGCTGGAAAGAAAGGAGAAAAAAAGGTTGATGATGCCTCATTACTATGAAAAGATATCAGGCTGGCCAGGTCAAACAGCAGATAAAGGCCTCTGGGAGCCATGTGTAATACATTAACCTCCATTCCTAAGGCTATCTGTCTTTATCCGGCCTTGATAAGCTCACTTCACAGCCTTTCAGCCTCACTAAATCATAACTGCACTGCGTTGTGTCACATTCAGTTTCCCCTCCATTTCACAAAAAGCATCCATCTTCCTTGCCAGCCAGTTGCACCATACTCTTATGATATTGCAGGGGTAATTTGTGGGAAGTGGGATGCTGTGGCACTTATAGCCTCCTCAGCCTTTATTGCAGCCTCCCACTGTGAACTACTGTTCCCTTTACTGCAGATGTGTTTTTTGTTTGGTTAAGGGGCCTCCGAGGTTTTGATATTTTTATTACCTCTCACGGGTCGTCCGTCAGGACCCGGGGCCCAGGTCCGCCACCCGGCAGGTCCTCCGCCCCCTTACTGCTGCCACACAAAAATACTTTTGTGGGAAGAACTGAGGATAGCTGTCTGGACGTCACACTGAGCTGCACTTCAGGATAATTTAAAAGCCCCTGTTGGATCTTTTCCCTCTCCTTGTGCTTTTTTCCTGTCATCCTCATCCTGGGTTACATGCTGAATCAATATTTTGTTGCTTGAGCAAAATAAACCAAATAACCACTCTCCTCCTGTTTTTGGGATATTGAATCAAATCCTTTGTAATGTTTTTCTAGACGCATTTTCGGGGTGAAAAAAAAAAATCAGGCTTTGCAAATATTTCTAATTCAAGCATTCACTTGTAAAAAGCCTCGGAAAGAATAATACCCCTTCACTGTGCTGGAGTGTACTATATCAGCCTCAGGTTCCTTTCTGCTCTGATTCATGGGGGTTGGCTGCAAAATAGGAGCATTCCCTTTTGCTCATGAAATCAAGAGAAAATATAGCTTCAAATGAGGCGTGAAGTCTCTGAAGCGTTGGCTGTTATGTAAAATGAATTATGGTACAAATTTGACGTGTCTCTTTTGGTGTGGCAGAAGATGCTCTGGCATGGGGTGTAGTGTAAAGTTTATCATGTGTGCAAGAACCTGCATGTACTGTGTTTAACAGTATCCCAGACAAGAGGAATGTTGTTGAATTCAAACTGCTAAATTAGGTCCATAAACATGAATTTTCCTGTTTTGTTGATGCATATTTTTTTTTTAAATCAAGAACTATATATTATCCAGGCCTAATGTGTGACTATGTGTTATTGTGTGTGTGGGTGGTTTCAGTCCGGAGTGACAGCTTCAGCCCGGCCCTTGGCCCCTGGCCCTGCCAACGCTGTGTAACCAGCAGCTGATTTATGGCCCCTGGAGCCCTACTGAGCCTCTTCCTCTCTGGCCCCTGATGTTTTCTAAGAGAGCCTGGAGAGAGGCAACTCTCCTCTCCTCCCATCTCCACCAATACCTTATAATAATTCAAGGCATTTAGCTGGCTCACTTGTGTAACACTTGGTTTGCAGGTTGGTAGGTTCAGGACAATAACCAGGGACACTTCAGCAGGCCACATGGACATAATAATGGTTACTCTACCACGGTAACTTATACCCCAGAGGGTACTTCTGCAGTTGCCAAGGCATACTTAGAAAGATAGTAGAATAACCTCTATGTCTAATTTGAAAAAACAGCAGTAACTTGATGAAAAAAAAAAAAAAAATACTTATGCATCCACATATGTAGTCAGCTGTAATACCTGAGCGCTTCATATTGCGATCAACAATGCAAGTAAAGTAGTTAGGAAGTGAGGAGAGAAGTCTGAACAGTAAGCTAAATGTAATGGATAAACTGTTACAAAAGTTAGCATAAGGCAATGAATAAAAGGTTAAAATGCTTAGCTTAAACTAAAAGATAAATGGAAATTGTTAGCTCAAAGTAATGGACAAAAGTAAAGTAACGAATAAACAGTTAAAAGGTTGGCTTAACGTAACTGATAAATAGTTAAAATAGTTGCTTAATAATGATAGATAAAACGCTTAAAAAGTTAGCTTAAGGTCATGGAGAAACATTTAAAAAGTTAGCTAAAAGGTTAGCTTAAAGTAACTGATAAATAGTTAAAATAGTTACCTCATAATAATGATGTATAAAAAGGTTAAAAAGTTCCCTTAACATAATGGCTACCCAAAAGTAGCCTAATACATAATTGGTTTAAATTTCTAGCTTTGGCCACTTCTCAGTAATCGTACTAATGCAGACTTAACCAAACCTACCTAAATAGTGATATTTCAATTGTATGCAAAAATGATTGTACAGTGTATTGATAGCTGTGATAATTAATAGTGTTAGGTGATGTCAACAAAGGTGATATTAGTTCATCTGACAGAGCTGTGAGGATTCATCAGACAAAAAGGTTTGGAAACCACTGGACTAGACTCGACAACACTACTATCCCCTCTAAGCCTGTCCTCTGCTGACCTGTAGGTTGTTCTGACTGTCCAGCATCCAGGAGGAGAGTTTCTTCTCAGAGGAGCCCGATATGCCGCTCAGACGCTTGGTGTCAAAGGTCAGGCACATGACGGGTTCAGGGTGGGCTTTAACTTGGCTCAGCTTGGATCTCTGGGTTACGTCCCACAGCAACAGGGAACCGTCCTCGTATCCAGCCAACAGGAGAGGGCCGGGACCCGAGTCTGGCTGGGAGTGAGGAGGACGATAAGAGAGAGGAGGAGGGACAGCGAGGTGGGAATAGAGAACACAAAGAGGAGTGTGAGGTAAGATGTGAGATGAGAACTGTGTAGTTAAAAAAAAAAAAAAAAAAAACCCACAGGAACTGCTGCGTGGTGCTGGAAGCTGAGCGGAGCAGAGGTTATCATTCTGGAAGCTCCTGCTGACACTCGGAAAGACGCTGTGGGCTCCATTCGTCAGCCTGCTGCTCTCTCTTTCCAGCACTCCATTACACCACTCCTCACTTTGCTCCTCATCTATATTACTGAGCCACAGGCCTCACTGCAGGCAGCCATACGTATAGTGAAGTAACAGACTGCAGTCTAGTTTTTATTATCTAAGTGCTGTTGCTGTTTTTTTTTAAATTTGTTTTTGTTTATATCTTTTAAGTGCACTGTTTTGGCATATATCTGTAGCTATAGCTTTTTTATCTTTCATCTTTACATTTTTTAAAATTAAGTATGCTCTACTTTTTTTGTTATGCATAACAATGATGTAGTACCTTTTACACTATAATGCTTAAATTTGCCATATTGTTACATTTGCAACGCATTTTTTCAAACTATTTCCAAACTACTGCTGCTGCAAATTCATACTTTTAAGATAGGGATTATTTTCATTGTCTATTTTTAACATATAAAACCTAAATAAATCTTCTTCTAGATTAATGTAGTGTTTTTTAATTATAAAATCAAATGTCTGAAAAATGACAATCACAATTTCCCAGTTTTCCTCTTGTATCTTACCAGTCTAAAAAAAATAAAAAATAAAATAAAATTAGAATAAGAAAACAGAAAAAAAACAGCAAATCCTTAAACTAAAGAAGCTGAAACTACAGATTATTTTCATTTTATCATAACAAATTACTGAATTAATCAATAACATTCATTTTCTGTTAATGCATGAACCATTAATTAACTAATTCTTTTGGCTCTCCGCAGCAGATGCATGCTCACATAATGAAACAAACTCAAGTACAAAAAAAAAACAACCCAAAAACATACTTTAGCCTTGCTTCATCCCTGTTTCACCCCGGGACATTACAGATCCAGCCGCAATGTTTACAACTGGTGAAACCATCAGAGTAAATCTTTCACATCTGATGAAATGAAATGAGACCAGGTGCACAAACAGGCATCAGATGCAGCCAAACCCAAATCACACTGCTGCTGTTATATACAGATATGGAGCAACATGTACCAAGCAAAAATGTAGCTATATGTGTATTAAAAGACACAGGTAAGCAGTATAACATTTAAAAAGGCGCCCTCCCACTGTTGGAAGTCACAGATTGTAAATCATTTGTGGAAACAGAGAAGGGAAGAAGGAGGAATGGATAAAGATAAGGAGGGGTGGACAACAGGTGAGATCTAACCACCATCCCACAATCCTTCTGTGCACGTATATGTAGGCAGCAGTGGAAGTAACAAGAAAACACCCCTCCACATCCACATATGCCTGGAGTGTTAGCTAAACAATGACCTGAACTTTGCCAAGCTCATAAGACTTCACGCTGGCCTGTGGAACAACACATTTCAGAAGACCTTTAAATACACAGCACAGATATACACTTCGTCCAGACTCGTACCTTTTCTTTAAAATACCATCAGACCCCCAGCAAAAGCGCTGCACCCTGCAGGAGCAAAGAGGGAAAGAAATGTTTTCCATATGTGCGAGGGGGCCATGTCTGCCATTTTTTCATCCATCTTCAAGTCCTCTTCTCACTTAACGCTCTATATTTCTCTCCTTCCAGCTTTAAACAAATTATAGACAGAGTCGTGTATTCCTTCCAAACACATCAGCGAGGACGAACACTAAGGGATTATGAAAACAAATAAAAACAAGTGGAAATCAGTGGCCCCTGCTTGCCGGCAGGGCCCGGGCTAAGCGTTCCAGGCTTGGGGCCCACCGTTTCACTTAAGTGTAGGACCTCCTTGATTGATGATGTCATGGGTCGGAGGTCAGGGAACCCTGGGTAGACACCTAATTCATTATATCCTCCACAGGCCTTTCTACAAGAGGGCTCTCTGCTGGAGTGGGGCTGGGGCTCAGGGAGCAGATTCATCACCATAGAACAGCTGGAAAGACAGATGGATGGAAGCTGGTTGAAGAGGCACTAAAGCAATGAAGCTGGGTCGTCTCGAGAATGGCAACTAGCTGGGCCTCAGCTTGTTAATATTCATGTGATCTTATGCCATTTTTTTTACAACTGTACTTATGCAATATGTTTACATATAATCTATTTGTGTTCATAATGTGCGTTAACCATAGACTGTGACATCACCCAATGATTTGTGAATTCTTGTTTTAAGCATCGAGTTCAGCACTCCGACCACAGCCATCTTGGTTTTTGGGAGCCAGAAGTGACCATATTGGAGTAAGAGGCCGGTGCTAGTGGAGCAAGGGGAGGACCTGACTAAGAAGCCAAGGTCACTATCGACAGATAGTCTGTCACTCAAAGTAGCCCGCCCTCAATTACATGGAACTTGAAGCCTTAATAAAATGTAAATGGGTGAGCCACAAAAAAATTCACTTCCAGCACAGTTGTTATGAAGGGTGAAATTAGCAATAGAGACTAAAACCGCTTTTTGTACCAGGCTGTAAACCTAAAGTTGCCAGTTCCAGATCACAGATTTGTGTCCAGTAGGGATGGGACTGCAATAAGACACACTCACAATAAGTTGATCGTGGTGAATTTCCATTATAGGGAAAATCATGAATATCATATCCAGCAGCACCCAGAGAGACTGTTGGGCAACCAACAATCAAAAAGACTCTGCATAAACAGGCTGCATACACACCAACCTCAACAAACACAGAAGATCTTAATCAAGCATTTACGGATTTCATATCGTAAGATATGACATTTCAAATTGTTAAAAAACCTGACTTTTTTAGATTGTTTGTTGTTGTTTTTACTTAAAGGGATGTTACTAGATAAAGATGTGTGTCCTATCTGTGATGCAATAAAAATATTTGCTTCTTAACAAAATGTAAAGTGATTCCAGTATATTTTGGAGTCAAACGTTTTAAGCATATTTTGATGATTATCAGGATAATATTGTGAATAGCGCTCATTCTGACGAGGATTATTATGATATGAAGTTTTTATATTGTCCCATTGTGTCCACGCAGTTCGTTCTGACCACCATGGTCCAGTTAGGTCACCAACTTTGCTTCTAGAAGAGTCAAGACTCCAGTGGCTTTTACACATTAAATTTTAGTTAACTTCCTTCCTTCTCTCTTCTTCTTCTACAACAATCACATCAGGTCAAGAGGTTTAAACCCCCCCTGCTGCTGAGGCAATACAAAATACTAAGATGTAACCTTAGTATGCCTTAGAGGCACTAAAACAATCTGTAACACATAGAAACAACATAGCTATAATTGCTGAACCATTAAATCTAAATCAGGTTCAGTTCCCAGCTCAAGACAAATTCACTGCACACACAGAATTCAACAATTGCTGATTATTCCATAATTAATCCATTAAATGTTTGGTCTAGAACATGTCAGAGAAAAAAGTGGAAAATGTCCATCATAATTCCCTTAAGCCCAAAGTCTCATCTTCAAAGTGCTTGTTTTGTCTGACCAACAGTCCAAAACTCAAATCTATTAAATTTACTGTCACACAAGACAAAGAAAAGCAGCAGATCTTTGGGAAATGACTTGAAGGATTAATCAATTATCAACACAGTACGTGCTGACTTTTTTATCTAGCAAGGAATTGGTTGACTAATCATTTCAGCTTTATTTCCTTATTTATACAAAACCATTTTCACCCTGCTTCCTTACTTCATTCTGAGCCAATCAATTTCATATAGACTTTCTATATACCCTATAAGCCTCTTCTCTCCTCATTCACTGAGAGCCCTTGAAATGAGCTGAACTGAATTTTACTTTTAACATGCTCATAGATGTTATATGACCAGACATCTAGGGTAAACGGAGAAAGCATTTGTCCCAGTATTGCGAAAGACGATAGACTTTGTCCCAGAAATTAAACGCAAATTAAAATTTAATATCTTGTTACACATCGACCCTCAGAAGGTGTTACTATTTTTCTGATTACCTGAACACTGAAAATTGAAAATAAAGGAAGAAAGAAGGAAGAAAAAGAAGACAAATGAAAAAAGGGACTGTCAATTTACAATTTGTGCGCTGTTTAAATCCCTCATTCACCTATCATGTTTTGCATGCCAATATTTTTTTATTCAAATCAAGTCATCAACCTCTAATATAATACTGTTACAGTAGCCCTGGGTTCATTCAGAGCACCATTTTGAAAATTAACTGTTGTAATTATCTTCTGTTCATATACAGCCTCTTAAGTATTGGCACAAATAACAAGTAATAACTCAACTCAACTTTATTTATAGAGCACTTTAAAAACAGCCGGAACAAAGTGCTGTACATAAACATAAAAAACACAAGACATAAAACAATTAAAAACACTAAAACAAGAGTAGATGGATAGTGAGGGGGCTTGTCTGATGCACAAAGCTAGGTCGTTCCAAAGTTTAGGAGCAGCAACAGAAAAAGCTCTATCCCCTCTGAGCTTCCGCTTGGACCTCGGTACCTCCAGGAGCAGCTGATCAGCTGACCTGAGGCACCAAGCAGGAGCGTAGGGATGGAGCAGCAGCATTTTGTACCAACTGGAGACGTGCGAGGGAGGACTGGCTGACTCTAAAATAAAGTGTGTTACCGTAATCCAGCCGAGATGTGATGAAGGCATGGATTACTGTTTCAAAGTGCTGTTGTGCAAGAAAGTGCTTAACCTTTGCCATCTGCATAAGATGAAAAAAGCTGGACTTAACCACTGCACCAATTTGCCGATCAAATTTAAAAATCACTGTCCATCTCAAAACCCAAGTTTGAAACTGTTGGCTTCACATAATATGTCATGGGGCCCAAGTCAACAGTGGGCATAACAACATAAAGGCCTCAACAAATACATGCTGGTCGAATCCAAGTCTCCAAACTAGCTAGCTAGCTAACTGCCGTGTGTTGCACTGTGGTATTATTAATTAGTGGTTGTGTGCTGTGCTATTTTGTATATAATCATTACAGTGTGTGTTTTAATTTTTAAAGGATGTGTCACTTTCTTCCATCTCTACAGTGCCTTGTTAACATCTGGCCAGGAACAACAGTTGGATATCAGGCTTTTAGACTAATTCTGGCTCATTTAAAACCATAAGTAAATACAATCTAAATGTAATTAGAGAGAAATATGCGTGCGATATCCGGAATTTATCGTATATTCCACAAACACTTCTTTGTAATTTCCTTATGTGGTAAATCAAGAATAATCCAGACACCAACAGCTTGTTTGCTGATGTGGCCGCCACAAGCCTCAGGCAGGCACTGCTTCAACATCAGGAACCAATCGTTTCCTCCGGTTTTTGTCCCGGTCCACTATGATGTCATGGCCACGAGGCAGCAAGGTGATGAGCTGAGAGTGATGGATATCTGTATAGGAACATTTCCTCTTCCCCGCCAGCCTCTGTTCACATTAAAAGCCTTGCACATCATACATCAATACTGTCCCCCTGGCCAAAGCTCCGCACACTCCAAACCCACATGTGGAGGCACTTTCTTCCTCCACATCCGCCGTATTGTTCACCGCTTCACATTCAATCAGATTCGAGAAATCAGATACGAGCTCTGTCACCTTTTAGACGTAGACCAACATATGAACTAAAGGCTGGGTGGGATTTCGCTGAAGGAAAGCTGAACTGTGGAGAAAGTGGCGTTTAACACTGCATTTAATCTTTTCCATAAACTCCAGCAGAGAGGGCTTAAAGGCCGACAATAAATCTGTTGGTGAGTCTGTCTTGGAAATAAAGGAGGATAATCGCTTTTCGTCTCAACGGTGGGAAGAAAAAAGGGAGGGATGGTGAGAGAGGGAAGACAGAGAGAGGAGATAATTGTTAGTGGCTTCTTCCTGGCGTGCGTGTGATGGAGAGAGACAGGGTGGAGAGAGAGGACGACAGTGTCAGCTGTAGCCTCCTGCTGCGTGAGGTTGAGGAAACAGTGGGTAGCAGATGAGCATTTGATGTGAAAGACAAGATGAGCAGTTTTTTTCTTATGACTGACAGAAAGTGTGTGTGTGTTGAGTTTCCAACCTGTGTGTGAGAGACACACACTCATAAACGCACACACAGACTGAGTCTCTTCCCAGTGCTTGGACCTCTCAAATGGCTCAGTCAGTGTAACAGATGAACATGCCTCGGCCTTGAAAGGAATCAGCCCGAGATAATTTAGAATCACCTGGGCCCTTCGGCTTTGAAGCTCGACAGCTGTCTGTGCTCTATTACAATGATATTATATAATTTATAATGATATAATTGATCATTATGTTTCCTGGCACTCAACGCTGAACCAGCATTGGTTCATAAATCAGATGATGAAAGGTGGGTGTAACAGTGAAATCAAAGCGAAAAGGAATAACAGTGTCAGCATGCACTGAGAGACTCTGACTTTTCTACATGTCTCTATAATAATTTTACAAACACAATGATTACATTACGTGCACAAAATATGCAGTTTTTTGCCCTTATTCTGAAAACGACATTATTCCTACTAAGCTGTTTATATTGCTGATGAAAATTAGTATTCCACTGTTTACATACAGCCATGCATACTCCAAATAAAGTGCCCTAACATGTTGTTAATCACGTCGAATATGAAACTGTGACACAGCTGGAGGCACTTGTGCCACTTTGCTTCTGTTTTCCACCTCCGAGAGTGCGATCGCAGCCTCTCCCTTTCATTCCTTCTGCCACTTACTTGAAAAGGTCAGCATTGCGATATTTGTGCATATCCAAAAACCTGTTGATATCCAAGTCTTTCATTATGTTTAAAAGTGGGTGTGTTCCTCCTTCTTACCAGAAATGTGACCTTTTCTTTTGAGCGTGCTTCTCTGCCCCAGCTAGTTGGTTTGTGAACAATGTACTCATGACAACACACAGCCGGTTGCAAACAGGCAACATGCCAGGTGCATGTTTACAGCAGAAAAAACTCAAACCGAGATGCATATTCCAAATGCGTTGAATATGTGACCAGAGAATGCTCCTAAAACCCAACAAACGAAAAAAAAGTCCTACTTTGGAATATCCCAAAGAAACATGCAGTTTATATGACTTGTATCAAATTCAGAATACTGTCATATTCTAAATAATAGTGGAATATTAGTGTGCATGTAGACAACATCACCCTTTATGGCTTTTGTCACTGATTTATTACTAACTCTAATTTGTATTACAGTAATACAAGGCTGAATGCGCCCAGGCCAGTGACTCGCCTCACTCTGGCATTAAAATGATAAGCTGTGTTTTGATTTCTGTTGCCTGTAAACTGTACGGCCCATAAAGAGGATTCAAACCATCCACACTCTTGCGTAAGTCTAAAACCCCACTCTGTCCCCCAAAGCCCCAAAACTAAAGAGTTAATAATTAACCATGAAAATAATTACAGGGTCTCCTTAATGGCTGGGGAAATAAAACTTTCGACAGCATTTACAAAACAGAAAGCAGCGTTTTTGCTCAGATCAGATTGGATGTACAGCTGCAGGCTGATATATGGCTGTGAACCCACGGCCCTTCCAAACGCTCTAATTACAGTGTTGGGACTCGCTGCCAGCTGAGAAGAAACGCTTGGAAAAATGGCCCCGGACGAGTTGTTGGGCTGTAAATCATGTGCCACATCTCTCATGTGCATTTCTGTTGACTTTTCTATTATTGTGTCTTGTTCATGGGTTACTAGCCAATCAGGATAAAGCAGGTGAGCATATAAAAAGTAACTTCTATTTAAGGGATGTGCCTATCCAACTCTTTCAGTCTCAATCTGATATCTAAGCTTTGGGTATTGGATGATTACAAGTACCAATCTGATACCAGTGTTTTATTAATAAGATGTATGCCTTACTGTGTGAAGTGACTGGGATCGTTTTATGTGTACAGCAACATCAGGCTTGACTTCAAAAGTCTTTTCCTGACTTTGTAAAGCAAAATACATCGATAAAAATTTGAAATACCTCCAAACATCTGACATGTTTGTTTTTAGCTCTCTCAGCTATGTCATCTACCGGTGCATAGAACTGACTTCACTAGATCAGCCCCATTGTCACGGATACCCAATCCAGCAATCTGAGTCAGTATCAGCCCCATATCTGATATCAGTATTGGATCTGTGCATCCCCGTTCTCTTAACTCCTTGTTTTAAATTGTAGAGAATCTTCTGCTTTTCATAACGGCTGCCAGGGTGAACTTGTTGAACTTCAGATGTAGTTACAGAGGGACACATTGCTACTCTTTAGAGGTTAAGGTAAAAACACTGCGACCATTTCTGTTAAAATGATACTAAAGAGTAATGCCTGGTGCTTACCTGCCACAGGTTGACACACATGACCATCCCCAGCTTAGCGTTTGGTACCAGGGTGCAGACCGGGGTCTTACTGGGTAGCTCAATAATCTTGATCTACGAAGAACACGTGACAATTACAACTTTAAACTCATCAAAAACAGCTGATTTTATTTTCAAGGCAACATCATACATCCATGCTAACAGCTCTGTGAGGCTAGACAGGAGGAGTGCTTTGAGCTGAATGGTAACATCAACATGTTAACATGCTCACAATGACCATGTTAACATGCTGATGATGAGCAGGTATGTTTACCACATTGGTCACCTTAGTTTAGCGAGTTAATATGCTAACATTACAGGAGATTACAACAATTATACACATCAAAGTCTGTTTTCAAATCTTGGGGAGAAAAAACAATGACACCATTATTAATAATAAAAAAGCATTTTATTTCTAAAGTGCTTTTTTGGACCTGAAGCACTGGAGTACGACTGCATATGTGGGGGACAAACGGTGTTTAAAGCTTGTTGTGGCTGCAGAGAGAGCTGTGTGAAGTCTGAGAATGCCTCAAGAATGCCTTCAGTGACATCACTTGAGGCAGCTGGAAACAACAAGTCTGGAAATCAGGATTTAGGAACTTATCCAATATGTCCTAATGTACTTTTCTTCTAATTCATCTGTTTTCATTATTTTTGTTCTAATGTTGTTTTCATTATTGAGGCCCAATTACATACAAATTGCAGTTGTACGTATAAATATCGATGAGCTGTCTGCCAAGTCATGATTTGTATTTCTTCTGCATTCAAATAAAGCAGCAACCTGAATCTGTCATTGTGGTTCAGGACTTGTGCAGATCAGAGTTCCTACACGCAGCAGTACAGTAACATCCATCAGTGCGGAGCAGCCACCCCACTGTCTATAATAAATCCTGCTAAAGCCCGACCCCATGACATGAACGGTGTTTTCCTGCACACATTGGCACTGATTCTGATAAAATACACAGCCTAATGATGTGTACCCACATCACTACCAAAACTCATTCCTTTCCACTTCCTCTGTGCTGATGATCCGCATATTCATCCTCATTAGGCCTCAGATTAAACAGCCCTCTAAGGGAGCGATCTGTATTTTAGCACGAGGCCACATCTGTCCTGCATGTTTACCTCTGCGTGCCTGACAAAGAGGGTCTTTAAGGACTTCCCTGTGCCTCAGGTGATCACTGTTCTTGTGTGGCATCACGCTGCCCATAAATAAAACACCCGCACTATTAATTAATGTTTCTGCCGTGGTGGCAGTCTGCTGGCAGGAATCTCACTGTGAGCTGTAAACAGTAAAACCACCTGAATAGGAACTCTTATTCTGTTTTCTTGGTTACGTATCTAAATATTGACCTACCTGCATACTGCATGTGGCACTAAATCATGCCATTGTGCATGTTTTGTGGCAAGTGCATTAGTATTGTTTCTTGAGGGTATTCATTTATGTGGGCGTTTTATTTGCGGATACGTGATAAGCATCTGTCGTGGTCAGTTATGTCTGTGGAATGGGGTGTGGAGACAGAATGACAAAATCGGCTGTGGCCTGTTTTGGTCTAACTTGTATGGGTGTGTGTGTGTGTTTCTGTCTGTCTGTGTCTGTTGGGACAATGGCATTATTGAGGTGCTGGGAGTCACAGGCGCCCTGATGCCTGGCCTGCTGGACTGGGGTTAGCAGAGGCACGTTTAGCTGGATCAGGTGACCGCTCTGTCCCTTTCAAGTGTGGCTCCTCCACAGCGGAGCAAGTAACATGAATCTGGAGGCAATAAAAGATGGCTGAATCACTGGCTGTCCTCTCCCCATCCTGCCTCACTCCACACAAAACCCTTCAGGCTTGTGGGTGTTGAACATCGACTACAAGACATATTGTGCAGACAGAACTGTGATTTCATTCCAGCGCACAATCTTTTCAGGCCTGGGAATTCTCTTTTTAATCCAGCAGTCACAGATTAAAAACACTTTGAGTATTCCATCAGCCGAGAAGCAGTTACCTCCTGAGAAAGCACAATTAACTTGTATTCTTAGGCACTAACACAGCTATTCGGTGTTTGAGACAAACAAATTTACTGAATGGCATGCTTCAAGCCACAGCCAAAATTAACCAACATTTAACTTGTGGCTGGTTTTAAGTTCCTATCTTTACAATGTGCATGCTGATCCATGATATGATGGCTGGTTTATTAATGGAGCTGTTTAGATTGCTGCAAACTGCATGCTCATGTCACACTGACTGTCCACACATTCATTGATGATTGGCTAAAAATATTATGTTGGCCAACTGATTGAGCTCAGGCCGTTTTGTATTTATGGATCAGAAAACTTGCAGATGATCACAGTGTTGCAATAGGAAAAAATGACGGGGTTTGATGTAACAGAACATCTCTTGCTGTGGGACTTTCAATTCTCCACTAACGCACTAAACACTACTAAAAGCCACAAATATGTGTGAATTCAATCCAGCAAACTGGCAACAGCAAGTCTGGGCAGGTTCATACAGGTTGGCATTTTTTTTATACCTGTCAGACTGTTGGACTGATGGTGAACCAATTAACCATCCCACTTCCCACCTGCCAATAAATTCAAGGTTGTTTCCTCCTGCTGAACATAGAACCACCTGAGTATCAGTACCCGAGTACCCGGGCACATCCAGGTGTGCCTGGATGTGCCCGGGCCATCTAAATCTCAAGCTGGCACACCCAGTATGATCATAAAATATGTGAAGGTTAGCTGCAAATTAAGAAAAATGTTAATATCATTTCTTACACTATTGAAATCAATTGGAAAAAATAGACTCTAATTGACTGAGACGTCCCATGACGCCCGTCCCACCTGTGGATATACAAGATCACGCATTTATGCCATTTTACAACCTCTCCGCCACCACTGGGGTGGGCCAGACCAGGCTGTTATTCCCAGTAATTTGAACTCCTTGCCAAGGTGCCCGCTTTTGAGTTGCTGACGGCAGCAGTCATTCTTATCCCTCACTACTCAAGGTTCTTGACTTCTATCCCAAAGACATGTTTTCAAATATGCTCTGTTTACTTCGGGCACTCTTCATATAACAAGCTGCACAGCTGAGTGCTTCTTTTCCACTGGTAACCAGACGTAGACTCACAGGCACTGAACAGTTGATCTATTATTTCGTTTGAAAAAAAGAAGCCAACAGACACTTTAGATTATAATGAAATTATTTCATTGTTATTTGTTCATTTGTTATTGTATATATTGTGCTCTTTGATCATAGCAGTTATTTTCTAAATGGGACCTGCTGCTATTGATTTCTTGGCCATGGGATTGTGAATGTAATGACAGCTTATAAACAAAGCTGAACTTTGTTAATCTCACACTTTGCTGTATTGATGGATACATGATGCTTACTTAATTTATGTAAGTGGCATGTTGTCAGTTTGTTCTGCCATGCGGTGGCCATGTACTCATGGTTGTATGGTTACCCTCACTATTAGAATATCTGATGTGATGTAATTGTGTGTAATGTTGCACATGCTCAGTGAGTACATGGTTGTAGTCGCCACAACTCCAGGTTTGACACTACTTTTATGCAACAGTTGTGCTGTTATGTTACTGGGGAAGTCATTGCAGTATTAAATGAATAAATAATGCTGCAGCTTGCCTTTGCCATCTTATTTCTTGAAACTATCACACATTGCTAAGCAACAGTAAAACTCTGCATAATGTTTAATGAGATGTTATAATAGGAGTCAAACAAGTGTTATGGTTGATCTATAGAACACTTTGGTTCTTGCTCACAATATATCCAGCAGGCCAAGGACAAAGGACAAAGTGTGACAGTGGACACTTTGAACTGGAGGGTCCCTGGTAATTAACCAGGGACCCTTTAATTAAATTGAAAAACTTCCTTTAATACTTAAAGATTAACAACCCTTAAAGGTGTGGTATATAATTATATAGAAAGATAGTTGATTGTTGAGTCTCATTCCCCAGTCATCAAATACCGATGCTTTGAGTCTGTGGTTCAGTCTGACTACCAACCCTAGGTCATTATAATCATGACCTGAGAATGAGACTCAACAATCAAGTCCCTAACCTGAATTTAAAACTGCAACATTTTGGCTGAAGTACGTATATGAACTGTTTAATAAAATGTAACAAAAAAGCAAGACTATGTATTGTCATTCTATTTTTATAGTATCACAAGCCATTAGTCTCCACACTGAAGAGTAAACGTCCTCAGGACACACTAAATCTTACAGCTTTGGTGAAAGTTTCGTTTAAAAAGCGACAATCCCTGCAACTTTTTTTTCAATTGCACTTATTCTTTTTTAATGTTGCAGGAGGCGAGAGCCCATCCCAGCATGCACTAGGTGAGAAGCAATGTACAACATAGATAATTAATAAGCGTACAGACAAATTCACACACATCCACACCTATGGACAATTTAGAGTTTCCATTCCTGCTGTCTAACCTCTTCTGTCTGTTGTCCAGCAAAGGCCAGCAAATGTGTCCCAGGGCTCGTCTCCAGCAAGGAGCACTGACAGAATCCAACACTGCCGGTCCACACAGAGTCCGTCACCTCACTACGACCTTCGCTCAGATCCCACAGACAGACCTGCATGTCTCGTCCCTGACTGCAACACAAAAACAGATACAAGCTGCAGTTACTTGCATATTTCAAAACTTTAAAGGTAGTCAAAAAAAAAAGCGATACATGAAGTTACAACACCAAAAGTAAAAATAATATTTTACATGCCCAAATGCTTCAAGAGACAGTACAAGATGGATAAGTAAGACATCTTATCATGAAGTTAAGAGACAAAGCGAACCTGATGAGGGTGTCTGTCCCCTGCAGTGTGCTGACCCAGGTGACCGAGCTACCAGAATGACCTTCTACAATCCTCTCAGCCCTCCTGGTGTTCAGGTTCCACATATGGATGGCACCCTTCCCTGACCTGCAACATCCAACAGCATGCTTTAAGAGGGCTATTTTATTAGTAATACAGTATATCATTCTGCTCTCACCTACACATATAGAAAGAAAGTACCAGAAACTATTTTCTCTTGCCCAAACCTAACACATACTGAATCAAAATTTAAATACTGGATGTGTGGTGCTTTAATAGTAAATCCTGACTGGCTGGCTTGAAATCTATATTACTTATCACATGCAATAAAACAAACCTGCCTATGTGTCTCTTATGATAGACTTAATGTACTACTAAAATAACAAAATCTTCTAACAAAAAGAGGAAGAGATACACATAAACATCTTAAGTACTTGGGAAAATGGTAATGAGTCAAAATATGAATATTGAGATAAACGACTCACCCAGAAAATAGGAGAGGAGTGTTTCCTCCATGGCAGCTAAAGTGGAGGGTGTTGAGGGGCCCGCCAGCCCCCCTCAGGGTGTAGATTGGGGACGGAGCGGGACGAGACATCCCTGGGTCATGCAATCAGTGCATAGATGCAAGGAGGCCGCAAACCCATGTCATGACACCCACTGAAACAGACAACAAGACGAGTGAGCTGAGAGATAAGTTACTTCTGAGAGTGATCTGAAGAAATGGAAAACAGTTTGAGCTCTAAAAAAAAATAAAATAAAAAACAAACTTTTCAGCAGTTATGATAAATGTTCCATGAAAATGAGATTCATTTGACTCTTTCACGGGGTACGATAAGATGAAAGTTCAGTGGAGGCCTAAAATCCAAAACCATCGGAAACCTAGTCATCTCTTTTTGTTTTTGCACAAACACTGAGCAAAGACTGACAGAAAGTAGCTCCATTTTGCCTGGAAGCCGTTCCCTTCCACACAGCAGACAGTTGTGTTTAATGCACTGTCTGTATTTTCTCTATTGTTAGTAGCTACAAACCCTGTGGCCCTCTCTCCGTCTTCCACCTTCCTGATAACACCTCTCTTACTCAATACGTCATAAATCACAGCCCCTGACAGCTTAATTACAGTAAACAGACGGAGATTCAGGCTTCTCACTCCTCTTGTGATCAACAGCCGTTGTCCCAGAGGCAGAAGTAACAGCTCAGGCTTTTATGTCGTCTGTAGGCTGGGCTCCTGAGGAAACCCAACCGACCGCAGGTATGCTGCAAGGAAATGATGCGTCAACGTTAAATTGCCGTGCAATCACACGTGAGTGATTCTTGGTACCTGGCATCAGATAGCTAATATCAATCTATCCATCCATTTTCTAACCTCCTTATCAAGTTTAGAATTACAGGTATCCAGAACCTGTTCATGCTAATACTCAGCGAATTTTAAATAGATCATTTTTACCAAAAACAGACTTCTTAAATTCAGGAAGACACGTCCCACCCTCTCAGTTTTATGCTAAACAATAGACAGACAATGACTTTGAGAACAACTACCCACACAAATACAGATGGACAATTAACCTACCAATAAAAATAAGCAGGTTTTACGAGCTGCCACTCCTGAAGCTGCTAAGTAAATTCCTCCCTCACCACACTGAAATATTTTTTCTACCTCGTTATCTCCAATTACATGTTCGCCAACTACACAAGAAAACAAATCCTAAATATGACTTTTCCAAAAAGCACTGATTGAGTTCAAATTCATCTTAACCACACCACTACAACTAATAGAACTTAAGTAGCGCACAAGAACACACTCAAGCAGGCTGTTCCTTATGGGAAGCTGCAAGGCTATAGCCACAGGGGACCAAATCTGCTGGGGGTCTACCCCAACCCCGAGAAAAAAAATTCTGTAAAATTCAGCGTTATGAGGGTCATTAAACTGCTATGACTGACTTCATAATACTTTTCGATCTTGCTTTACTTTTGGAGGAGCCAGCGACTAGGGGTGGGGGGAAAACTTCAGCATAGTATCGCAATATTTTTGTTTGGCAGTATCGTATTGTAACACAGTACCAACAATTGACTGAAGTGAGATGAACAGACTGAAAGCTTTTTTCTTATTAGATAAAACAGAAATTTGGTGAAATTATTTGCAGTTGGAAATGGGTAATAAGTCGCAATATAACGCAATAGATCTTATTGCAATACTCAGCATACTCAGCACACGTTTGAAATTTCAATAATGTATCATGACTATGTTATTGTGATAACATTGTATCATACAGCCGCTAGTGATTCCCACCCCTACCAGCAACCAGAGCTGTTTTTTCTGCAGCCGCACCTATCTGGAGAGAGCTAAAAGGAATAAAAAGGTGAGGATTTTGTCCCTAAAGGACAATATTTTATTTTGGAAATATTATTCATTATTAATAATAATATTACTGACAAAAGCTGCAGCACACATCCAACAGTTGCCCTCCTGCCTTATGTAACGTTATAGGCTACTCAAATAGAAATATAAAGAAATGTAATGGGGGGTATCTGTGAAGCATAAAAAAATGCGCCTGCCTACATGTAAATAACTACTTTTTCCCAAAATACTGCTGGCTCTGTGGTGTTGGAATTTCATTTAACGTTACAAAAATAATCTGTACAAAAACTGAAGTGTAAAAACAATAACTTGGGTCTGTGATGTTGCCAGGCAACTGGCAGAGACTCCCAGACATCACAGCTTCATGCCAGCAGAGAGCTGTTTTCAGTCTTTATGGTGGCTATGGCTATGGTGTCTCCTGACTCAAGCTTCATACTTAACACACAGATATTAGAGTGATATCTTCTCATCTAACTCTAGCATTAAAGCCAGTGAGTGTATTTCCCAAAAACTATTTACAGTACATGTAACTATGTCTTTTAGATCATCTGAGTTAATGAGCACATCCTCACCACCACCACCACCCCAAAACACACATCAACCCCCCCCTCCACTTTTACTTATCATAACCCTTGCTCCCTGCAATCAGTAGACGCTGAAACTGGAGCCTGAGGCATTCAGGAGCAACTCATTTCAGGAGGTTAGTGGTTAAATTGTCCATGTGAACCTGTGAAGCGGAGAGACAGAGACCCCTGCCCAGCCTGCCTAATTAAGGACACAACGCTGCAGTCTAACAAACTCACAGAGACATAGTCTCATAGTTTAACACACTGCATGCGGGCAAAGTGGATCATTTTCTCCATGCTCACTATGGAAAAGATGGCACTAACATCCAACTAATTATGTAAAATGCAAAAAAAAAGGTTTATATTTTAAATGGTTAAGCATATGTATGAGACTTTAACCACTCATATCTCTGAACTAGCCGGAAACCCTTCAACCAACAACTGTACAAACTTGTTTCTGTGTGGTATGAAAAAAATGGCAAAAACCTTCAACAGTGTTTTTGTGAGGGTCTATCAGTTAAGCCCTGAATGGATGGGTAAGACTGCATTCCTACGCCAGAGTCCAGTGCCTGTGTGAGTGTGTGACAGGGTGAGGCTCACCCTGATAACAGGTGGATTAAGTGCCCCTTATTGTCCTCTTGCAGCAGACCCGCATGGAGCTAGCTGTGAGTCATGTACACAGTGGACTGAAAATGTTTTCATTGTCTCAAGACCAGTGGCTGTGGGACTTTCCAATGGCAATCACAGCTCACTGTCAATCACAGGCAACAGTTGGGGACAGTGATGCAGGCGTAACTCGGGGACTATATAACCAAAAATATCGAAAAGACGTGAATAACTGCCACTTTTCCCTGCCACTACTTCCTCACTGCACTGCTCCTTCTGTTTTCCAGGCGTCAGCATTTTCAGTGTCTGAATTGCCCACAACAATGGGTCTGTTGTGGTGGCTGCAAGTGAGTCACCCACAAACCCAAATACAAACATGCAGGCAGCTCAGGAAGGGGGAGACAGATACTGTAAACAAACAAGAAGGTGGCAGGATGTCACTCTAATCTATTCGCAAGGACCTTTAAATTGTTCCTTGCTAACAGAGAGAGGCGGCCGGGCAAACAATCAAGCCGGTCACTTGTCTAGCTCGTATGTTTGATATCAAAAAACATCTCCAGTGAGAGACCTTGCTGGAGTAGCAGTAGTAAGTAGCTGGGGTAGATATGATCATCAAGGACAAGAAACTTGCTCTATTTCAGTCTCCAAAATGAAATAAAACTAAGAAGCTTTCATAAAGTGACTGAGCGATAGATAACAAATACCCAACAGGTCAGTGAACTGTCTTATTAAACATGTCCACAGGAAAAATCTCAGTAACTAGCTAGGCCTAATTAAACTTGTGTGTCTCGGACAGAGCATAATAAATCAGACTGACTGATTAATATACCTGAGCTGGATATGGGAGCCAGTGGGAAGAGGCAGGAGAGGAGGATTGAGGCTCCTGCTGGCCTTGTAACAGATAAGACAGCTCTGGGGTAATCTGACTCTAAGTCCATGGATAAAGGCAGTTTGTCTCTTCTTGGGCCGTCTGTCCACACCTACTGGGTAATTAGGCCTAATTATGAGAGAAAGGTCCGCTTCCCCTTCATGTTATTAAATAAGAGCCAGCCTCGTCCGCCAAGGATCTCTCAACACCAGCAAGGGGCTGGCGACCTTCAGATCAAACGCAGCCACTATCTATGCACCCCCCACCCCACCCCGACTGCAGCGCCCGTTCCCCTACCTCAACATTACTGCACATATGAGGGCTTGTGGAGGGAGGAACAGGGACGGTATTCGTTATGATATGGGGCATCAAAGTTTTTTTTGACTAGAGGTTAGGGAGGGAGTCCTGTCCACATTCCTTGCTTGGCTCTTTAGTGCTGGTATCATGTGATCGGCAGCTACCCACCTGAGCTGCCCCCTTGTCAAATTCTGCCATTCATAAATAAGAGCAGGGAGGGAGGGATATACTGATCACAGGGGTTTATTATAGAAGCTTTATAATGCCCCAGCTTCACAGGAGTCATTATGGAGGCATGGGATCCCGAGATCCCCTGCTGATATCAGCCTCATCAAATATGAGATCTGACCTGCATGATGAAAACTCAAAGTAGATTACACATAACTCAAAAGCTGCATTCTAGATAGGCCTGCCAATGAACAGCCGATGTTATAACCATTCAAACCAACTGTGTTTCTTTTCTGTGACATCTCTGCCCACAAGCTTAAAAAAAAAAAAAAAAAAAAGGACCTCAAATCTGCCCACTGCTGCTACATACCTCAACTATCGGTCATTCTGATGTTTAGCCTACTACAGGCAATGGGCTTATCTGCTGTTTCCCTGCTTTTCACCGTCTCGCCAAGGGGGTACTTCCACCTCGCTGGCTGGTCACTGGGTGGTGAGCTGGCTCTATGACCATTAGTCAGCCTTTCTGCCCTAACCCTCCCCCAACTAATACAGATCCTTCTGAGGAGGAAACTAACGTGCTAAATAGAGAGAGAGGTCCATTATAAAAGTCCAGTTAGACAAACAACACGGGAAGTGGCGAGGAAGACACACACCCTTTATTGTGTCTTGGTGGGGTTATCTGGGCTGGATAAACAGCCCAGCGTCAGCTAGAGGCTGAAGTCAGACACAAGTACACCAACACCCACTGTCAGTCACAGATCCAATGAGTGGGAAGAGGTGGCATTGTTCGCGTGAATGGCGTGAATGCTAAGCAGGGGCCATTGCAGATAAGAGCTCAATGCCTTGTGGGTGTCATTGAGGCAGGCACTGATGGAGCACTGTGTCAGAGGGTCCCGTTTTAGGAGGTCCTGACTGTGGTCAACAGGTACTAGGAGCCTTATCTGTTTGCATTATCACCCATTTCCTCCATGAGGTAATTTACCTGGACACAAGAGGATAAAGGGACACAAGAGAGTCGACAGCTCAAGTGTCATCGTACATCTCCACACGTTAGGGGTGTGATAGGCTGCGGATCTATAGGGATTTTGCTGTCCATACAGCAAAGATATGACAACAAATAACTGTTTGTTGTGCCATAATCTCAATAAGACATGATGCAACAGGGACAAAGAACACAGAAAACAACACTTTGTCAAACAGCACATCCCCTGTGTTAAAACTGTCAGTCATCTTCAGGGGTGTGATGAGTGATTGTATGAGGACCAAGTAATGGACGGTGAAAAGTTTGACAGAGTGCTGACTATTTGTACAAGGCAAACAGCTTCCGGAGTTCAACAAGATCTATTCAACCAAATTTAAAAAGCTCCTTTAAATGGAAAAGCTTAACATAATGAATACAACTCTAAGTTGAGCATTTGCACATTATCATGGCAGATTCTGTGAGCTGGATATAGGAGCTCCATGATCAATTTCCCAACTAAAAAGCACTCGATAGTTTTAACTGGTTTTTCAAATAAGATAATACAAATTAATATATATATAATGATAGAACATGTTTTAAACAGAGGTGTCAAACACAGAGCCCACTTGCCAGAACCAGCCTGTTAAAGGGTCCAATCCAGCCTACTGAATGACTTTGCATACCCAATATTGATACACTAGTGAAGGCTAAGAGGTGCCACATTACAGAAGAAAGTTAAACATTGAGTAGCCTACTTCATGTAAAATGGTGCTTCAGAGGCTTTTCCACCCTGACCAGAGTACAACTCTCTGAAATAACAATGAATAGGCCTACTTACTGTGGTTATATTTAAAGATATTGAACATTATGCAGAATAATGCCAATAAACAGCTTCAGTTCAAAATAATCTACTGCTGAGGAGGCACAACCAAACCTTTTGATATGTAAATGAATTATAAGGCAGGGAATAAACCTGCTTTCTCGTTAGTTACTACATTGGTGTGGTGATGCCAGCACTACTACACAGGAGTGGAAATGTATGGATAATGCACATGTAATGACAGCAAGTATTGGACTGACTGAATGCTGTATGTAGATTGTTAGAATGTACTTATTTACACTACAGGAAAGGGAAAATTTTAAAGGAGTTATTTAATGGTTATTATGCAATGGTTTTACTGGTATGGGCCACTTTGGATCAAATTGGGCTGTACTGGCGAATGAACTAAAATGAGTTTGACACCCTCGCTTTAGACATTTTAAATCTGCATCTAAACTTAGATCTGCTTAAAAATACACTGGACAGACAGACAATCACAGCATGTGTGTGTCAGCTGTCTTTATGAGCAGTGAGTTCAGAACAGAAGGTCAATTGCAAACACATAAAACGTTTTCATATGCCCCATCTTGCTTTTCATTTTTGTATCTGCTCTAAGTTTTCCCACACAACCCTTTATTCCAAAAAATAATTTGGGTTATACCTAGTAGTATAACTTGACATTTCATGAGCTTACCTATGAACAGTCACACAAAACTTCATTAAAAAATGAAGCAGTTTTTGCTGCATTAGAAAATGGCACATGCATTTACCTCACTGACTTTAGTAATGATGGAAGCCATAGTATTTGATTTGATCCACAAGCAGCATAGTCTAATGGAATTTGATTAAAGGGTTGACAAGAGAGTTAGTTACAATTCAAGCATTGTATATAAACGTGATATTGTACATGTATTGTTTCACAGCTCGTTTTTACTATTACGCCAGCTTTACTATTAATTGTCTGTAAATAAGACAGTACTGGTGTCTCCATGTGACTCTACTACACGTTATCAGGGCTGCGTTGTACACGCAGTTGAGCTAATTGTGCTATAGCATAAATTAAAATGCTGGGCTGAAACCTGAACAGGTAAGGCAACAATTTACATCTAGAGGCACTAACACTGTCAGTCTCATGTTGTTTACAAGGTTAGCAACAAGCTAGCAATTACCCACAACAACTGCTATAAACAATACATATACCTTGTTATTACATAGTAGGCGTTATCGCCGGGTAAAGTAGGGTCACTGTAGTAGAAAAAGAAGCTTTAACAAAGCTTCAAATAATACCAATTCAGTCACACACCGGTGTTTTGGCAGTTGTCAGAGAGAAGCTGGCAGCTCTGCGAGAGGATACAAAACATGCGCCGGGAGCTGAAGGACCCCTAGTTAGAGCAGGGGAGCTGCCCATGAAAGTGCCTGTACAGAAAACTCAACACTCTCTCTGCTCAACTGGCTCTCTTCAGACTGTCTGCCTGTGTGTGTGTGTGTGTGTGTGTGTGTGTGTGTGTCCATTATTTTCATAAATAAGTATATGTGTGTGGGGATATTTCAATTATTAGGTGTCTTTCAAATACAAAAAAAACATACTATGATAATAACAAGAGCAAAGCAGCAATCTGATATATAATTAAAAATCAGATTATGTTGACTGTTAGATTGTCACTTAAAATGCCTTTTTTCTATTGAAGCCAAGAATTGAGCTTTAAGCTTTACTAAACTCATTTAAGTTACTACTATTTCTATAATGTGATTCAAAACACTACCTCAAAAAAAAAAAAAAAAAAAATCTGAACTGAGCGATAGAACTTGCAAAGCCTCACAATACTGCAAGAACAGGGGAGTCTTTATTTTTCTCCCATCCTTTTCAGTCTAATGGAGAAAGAGAGACAGAGAAAACACAGGGCCCTAATCCACAGAGCACACAGACCCCTTTCATGGGAGTGCTGGGAGAGACCTTTATTTGTCCATTCCTATCATGGAGAAAGCGGGTTTCAAGCTCGGCTAGGTCTGAGCTGGAAGATTAGCTGAAACCAGAGTGTTTTAAACCTCTTCTGTGGCTGTGGATTAGAGTCAGCCAGTCCCCCTGAACTCTGAAATGAACAATAAGGAGTACAGGTGGCTCAGTGGGAGAAGGTGCATAACATGTGAAGCACGCTGAGTTGGAAACCTCCAAGCAACAACGACAAAAATGCCCAAAAGATTAGGGATAGCCGTCAGGGAAAGGAGGGAAAATACCTCACATACACCTAAACATAGTATTTGGACAAGCAAATGTTGGCATCTGGGACACGCCCCAGTCATAGTATGGTGTATTACTGGGGAGAAGCCAGCACAACAGTTTTAATGTATGTGAACCTGCTTGAATTACATTATCACCTCCTAGACATACCATGCTCAAATTATACTCAATAAGACATACAATATTTGGGATTTAGAGAGAAGGATTATCAGCGTATCTAATTTACTAATGAGCTAGATGAAATACATAAGCACCTAATGACATACATGAAAAGGGTGAGTCTCAGTTGTAGAGCAGCAGTGAGTTTAAACCAATTAGTGCAAATGGAGGTGGCAGGACGGTAACCCCTCAGCAGGAGGTGGGAGAAAGTGTCCACTGCCCTGCCTGGACAGATACCATGGCCTACATAATCATCAATTATTCCTGGCATCTCAGTTTACCCAGGGGCAGGGAGGGTGTACGAGACAATGCCAGGGTGCACTTGAGAGCTACAGCCATGGCCTCTACGTGGGTCCGAGGAGGAGGAGGTGCAGGAGGAGGAGAAGGTGGGGTGACAGTGTTGGGGTGTGTATGCAGTATCATCCATCCAACCCAAGAGAATGCGTGGTAAGGAAATCCCTGGAATCCCACTCTCGCTCCAGCCACCCGGCTGTGGGGGCAGGCAGGTCACTTTACAGCTCATCACCAAATTAGAAAGGCTGCGGGTCAGCCTGAGCAGCAGCCAGACCGCAGAGAGATAGAAATAGACGGGAGTGCTACGATGCAGTCTGCTGGTGCTCATTCACCAGGCTCCTCTCTCATCATGAGGAGGCAGAGGACTGCACTGTACACCGTGGAGGGCAGGGAGGAACACTAGACAGTGCATTTCAGTCCTCTGAGACAGACCAAAAAGTAATGAATACATAGTGTGGACACAGAGAGCTACTGTACCAGGAGACTGACGAGCATGAGGAATTTTCTTGACTAACATACAGAGCAATAAATCAACATAAGATACGTACACTAAGATACAATTATGATATATATAGGGACAGTGCCCAAGTTAGAAAACAGCTATGTTATGCTACTGCTAAATATGATGATCCTGACAGCAGCCAGTTAACTTAGCTTATCATTTAGACTGAAAAATGGGGATATAGCTAGATTTGGTTGGTCCAATTGTCATTTATAGGGGAGAGTGGGGTCGGTTGGGACATTTTTGTATTGACTTGAAATAACTTTTCATTACTCACAGGCTACTCAGACAGAAATTAAAATAATTTAATCCCTGAACAGATACAGGTGTCTGCTAACAGTTTATCAAGTTTTCTAGAGCCCAACCCAAATGTGAAAGGCAACATTTTGTAAAATCTACAGGGAGTGCATTTTGGCCTCCTCAGAATGGTTGGGGAAGTGGGTAGGGTCACTATCACCAACTAGCACAACTTAAGGATTGGCTGTGGCTTGGAGGGTACAGTGGGCCACTCACTAATCAGAAGATCAGCAAGTATCATAAGGCAAGATACCGAACCCTAAACTGCTCCCGATAGCTGTTCCATCGGTGTGGGAGTGTGTATAAGCTAAGTAGCAGGTGGCACCTTGCCTCAACCACTATTGTGTTAATATGTGTGTGACTGGGTGAATGTAGTGTTAAAGTGCTTTGGGTGGTCGGAAGACTGGAAGTGCAGGTCCGTTTACCATGTGGTATAACCAACGCCTAACTAACTAATTAACTAACTAACTAAATAACTAATGCATAGCTAAAACTGGTATAGCAGAAGAAAATGATAGATAGATAGATAGATAGATAGATAATGATTTTAAGCTTTAACATGTAGGAACAATTGGGGCGTCGGTGGCTTAGTGGTAGAGCAGTCGCCCCATGTACAAGGTTGTCGCTGCAGCGGCCCGGGTTCAAATCCAGCCTGTGGCCCTTTGCTGCATGTCATCTCCCCTTCTCTCTCTCTCTCCCCCTTTCACGCTTACCTGTCCTGTCCATTAAAGGCAAAATGCCTAAAAAATAAAAAAAATAAAATAAAATGTAGGAACAATCAGAAGATCTCCACTTTGAGCTTGAATGTGAAGAGGGATAATGACATAGGTATTGGCTAGCTGCTTTCTAACTTGCTAAAAAGCCACTGTCCCAACCAACCATGGTCTACTCCAGGGTCTTTTTGTACAGAAAAAAAAAGAGAGGGATATTGTGGTAATTAGCAAGCTTTATAGTAAGCTTCGGTAAGCTTTATAGCATCTTTGTGCTAATCTAAGCTAACCTCCTGACTCCTGCTTCATATTGACCATGGTAAGAATCTTGTCATTTAACTCTCAGCTAGAAAGTGAGTAAGTGTTATCTCTAAATATGTCTTTTCCTTTAAGGAACAATGATGAAGTCTCTCTTAAGATTCAATTACGTTTTCTAAATGATAGGTGGATACATATTGACTTTACTCTTGAACCAATGCAGTTAATATAAGGCCACTGTCAAATAATATCATAAAAAGAAGAATGTTTGCTCCATCAGAAGGATCTGATCCCTATGTGTTCATGTTGCCTTAATCTATTGCATCAATAATTAATAAAAATGAATGTTGTCTTAATTCAGTTTAGCTGATTCTGTTTCAGGGAACTGATATTATACATGCTGGCTCACAGTCACACACAACTTCACTATCTTATACCTAGCTTTAACTTGAATGTAACAGTGCCATAGTTAATATTATTAGTAACACCTGTGCTTTTCCTGCTATGTTAAAATCTCTGCCATCAAAAAGGCCTTTCAAGTTTTTTGTTGCGCATGCTGCTCCTCAGCCTGATTCATGCTGCATTCATATGCTCCTCTGATGGTTCCATTTCCATATTTGGGAAGTCATTCTTCCAACTTTGTTGTTTTTATAAGCTTTTAGTTTGGAAACAACATGGATGCATACATGTAACTTTATGTCTCCCTGAGTTTTCTACGTGTCAGTGGACGAGTACGCATTAAGTTATCAGAAGAGGAGGAGAAGATACTGCGTGTGGGAGTATGTGTTGAATGTGCAGGTATCATTCAATGTGATGGCGAGGCCTCCCCTGCTAATATTTTCCTTGGGCATCTTTGCAGGTGTGAATGGAGAGATCTCAGGGAGGGCGAGGAGTGACTGGCCTGTCTGTCACTTTGAGGCAAAGAACAAAACACATCATGAATAAATGAGTGTGTAGCGGGAAGGAAATACAGGCACTATCAGCACCACTGAACCATCCTCCCTTGGAACAGTGAAGAAGAGGAGGCACCCACTGTCCAAAGTTAATATCTTTATCAGTTCTTTTTGAAACTCCTCTGTAATGATGAAGCTGTTTCTCATGGTCTCTCTTTTTTCTTCATTTATTTATTTGACAGGGACAGTGAATATTAGTAACATTTCTGACAATATGCCAGCATTAGCCAGAAAGGCTAATTTCTATCTGTAGTCCCCAGGCAGGCAATAATTAAAAGCACAATTGTTAGGAATAAAAGCCAAAAATACAATTAAGGATAAAAGCAGTGAAAATATGCAGTAACGTACAGAACACAAAAAAACACAAAAAACGAAGCAAAATAATGACAAATAAGACAACAAATAAATACCTCACTGTTCACAAGTTTGATTCCTAATAAAACAGGCTTTTAATGTGGTGGAGAAACCGTGGGTTCAAATCAAACCAGGAACCCTCTTGCTGTGAGGTGACAGTGCTAACCACTCCACCACCATGCTGCCATGCATACTGACTATTTTATCTCTGAACTGTTCTGCTTTCAGGCAGTTTTGTACTGGAATGATGGCACATGTGTACATGTTTGTTTTGGCACGAATACTCACTCCAACCTCGTCACATATTGACATTTTGGTCATGGACTTTCCATGCCCACATACGACGTGAAAGGTACCCTGGGTGTGTTGGTTGTTGACGTTCTGGGACACCGTATCAAGTTCTGCCTGTTAGATGCATTGTCTTCTTTCAAGACACACTTCTGTTTTCACAGGAAATTTAACGTTTACATACAGTCTCTTTAAAAATAAACACATGACGTTGGTACAACACCACAAATTGACTTTTTT